CGAGAGAAAGAGAGAGGGAGGCAGTGTGGAGTCGAGAGGCTGGAGCCGAGAGAGAGGGAGGCAGTGTGGAGTCGAGAGAAAGAGAGAGGGAGGCAGTGTGGAGTCGAGAGGCTGGAGCCGAGAGAGAGGGAGGCAGTGTGGAGTCGAGAGACTGGAGTCGAGAGGCTGGAGTCGAGGTGAAGAGTTACCATGTGTATCAAACGGAACTCATTGAGAGTGACCTGGGTTTCCGGGGGGAGATATTTATTGTGCCGACGCTGCACTTGGTGGTGTTTCAAGCTCAGTGCTGATTAAGAGATCGATGACAATAAAAGATCGGGCCCCTCGGACAAAGATAAGAGCAGCTCAGCAGCGATGGGCCCGCAGGTGAGGACACCCAGAGCAGACAGGAATAAAACCGGTCCACCTCGCTCTGACTGGTCTCTCTCGTGTCCTCCTTTTCAGATGTCATCCACACAGTGGGGCCCATCGTCCAGACGGGGTCTGTGGGGGACAGAGAGAGACAGGCTCTGCGCAACTGCTACTGGAGCTGCCTGGAGACGGCTCGCGCTCAGCAGCTGAGGACTGTGGTGAGGGAGGGGGACAGGGCAGGAGACAGAGAGGGGACAGAGAGAGGGAGTGGGACAGAGAGGAGGGGGACAGTGCAGGTGAGAGAGGGAGAGGAGACAGAGGGTCGGGAGAGTAGGGGGGGGCAGAGAGAGAAAGAGGGACAGGGAGGAGAGGAGGGAGAAGGGGAGAGAGATGGGGGAGCAGGAGGACAGCGGAGATAGGAGAACAATGCTCTCTTGTTTTGTCTTTCAGGCGTTCCCCTGCATCTCTACTGGCGTGTACGGTGAGTGACAACAGCACTGTCCACTCTTGCTGACTGCTGACCGCTGACCCAGGCACAGTCACTGCACACTGAACACAGGGGCAGCTCACACCCTCTCTCCTGTCCACACACATTGACAAATGACCACTGACCCAGGTCAGCGCGCCTGAACTCCCTTCTGTCCAGTTTGAAACCACTTCTTCCAGCACAGCATCACCTGGGAGCCGGAGCTGGGGTACACCCAGTCCACTACAGACACCTGCACCAGGGCCAGTGTTCCCAGAAGCCAGTTAACCCAGCAGCATGTCTTCAGCCTGTGGGAGGAAACTGCAGCACCTGCAGGAACCCCACACCCACAGGGACAGCACGCAGACTCCACACAGACAGAGCCCCAGGGCTGGGACTGACCCCAGAGCTGCCTCAGCACAATACAGACACCAGCTGTGCTGATACAGTGGTGTCCACCCCCCCAGGGGCCCACGCTGGACAGGGGGTGTCCAGGAGGTCAGGACTGTTCAAGCCCGGAGCCTGGGGCTGGAGTCTATCCCAGCAAGCAGCAGGCATAAGGCAGGGGACATCCTGGACAGGACACCAGTGCGTCACAGCGCACAACAGACACACACGCTCACACCCCGGACGATTCTCCCACCCAGCACACCGGCGCGTCTCTGTACTGTGAGAGGACACCAGGAAACCAGAGAACCCGCAGGACACTCACGCAACAGGGGAGAACATGCAAACTCCACACGGACAGCACCCCAGAATCGAACCCCAGTGCCGACCACTGAGCCCCCCTGCCGCCCCCCCGTTTAAAGCTCAGTTCACGACGCAACTCAGAGCAATAATGAGGTGACTTATGCAACCCCTGCAGGGTACCCCCCCAGTGAGGCGGCGGACGTGGCCCTGAGGACAGTCAGGGAATACCTGGACACTCACGGATCACAGGTAGGAGCACACCTGTCTCCCTCGAGGCGGTGTGGATATATCAGTCATCCCAGGACAGAGGGGGCGCCCACAGGGTCCAATTAAAACCAAGCTCTGCGAAGCGTGCGCGCTGACTCAACGTCCCCACGGAAACACCCGCTCCCTACCCCTGGTGCGACACCTATTCCCTTCCCTCCTGCACAACAACAAGCCTTGTTGTCAAAAACACCACCAGCTGCAGCCACAGGCAGGGCTGGGGTGACAACAGCACACCTGAGGGAGAGACAGAGGGAAAAATACAGCAGGCGAGGAGAGGGAGAGTCAGGAAGAGTGCAGAGGCACACTTTAAAAAACCAAG